CCCAGCCTGAAGGCTGCTTGCTGTGCAGCCTCGGGAGCAGCTGGACTTCTCTGAGCCTCTCTTCTCTTTCTCTGCCTTTACCCTGCGCCTGCAGGGCTGCCAGGGGCCGGTCAGGGCCCTGTCCTCTGCCCCAGTCTGCCTAGCACAGCCCCCTGCAAGCACCTGGACAGGGTGTCCCTTAGAGCTGCAGGGGAGATGAGGCCAGGGAGTTTGAAGCCCGAGTCATAGCGTCAGAATATGGCCCTGCTCTGCTCTAGAGGCCACACGGCTGCAGTGACCGAGGGACTGGCCGCGTGCACCCAGAAGCCCAGGAGAACAGAGGCAGACACAGCCAGAAAGCCAGCACCCCACCTCACTGGCACGAAAGACCAGGGGAGCCGTGCTGTCCCCGTCCCTCAGAGGCCCCTGGAGCTGGGTCAGGAAACTCCAGAGCAGCACCAGGGAGGGTGGGCAGTGTCCCGGCCAGCAAAGGCGGCCACCGCAGGCACCAGAGAGAAGCAGAGGAGACACCACAGAGATTCAAGAAGACGGCTCAAGGACACCAAGCCTGGGTCAAGCTGGGCTCCCTGCTGTCCATACTGGGTCTCGGTGACCTGCCCATACAAGTCACCTCCCTCTTCTGACCCTCAGTGTCTTCTTCAGTGGAAACTGGTGGCAGCAGTGCCACCTCAGAGGCTGTTTGGAGATCAAAGAAAGCAGAGCACAGCCCGGGGGCAGGGGCCAGAGACTGGCCGCCTCCAGCAAATGGACCCAGAGCAGAAGAGCCCTGCACAGCCCGAGGCCGGAATCAAAGCCTTCTTAAAAAAGAAAGCCACAGCGTCGGGCAGGAATGTGGAAAGGCTGGAACCTCACGCGGCCGGGGCGGAAAATGGCGCAACTGCCATGGAACATGGCCTGGAAATTCCTCTGAGTTACACCCAGAGGCAGGAGGTGACCCAGCTCCGCTCCAGGGCGACACCCGCGGGGACCCACAGCCATGCAGACACACTCCAGCACACTCAGCCCCGCCCAGGACGGCCACCTCGGGCCAGAGTCACTGCGTGGGCGGCCAACACAGCACAAGCACGGGGTAGTACTCAGCCATGAAAAGGAGGGCCAGCACGTGCCACAGGCAGAGGGACCTTGGAATGCCCAGAGAGAGACCAAAGGCAGGACAGGCCTGTGAGGTTGGCCACGCCACAGAGTCAGAGCAGATGGCCGGCTTGGGGAGGGGTGTGGGGAAGGACCCTGGGGCCGGGTCTCCTGCCGGGAGGCTGGGAGCGTCTTGGAATGCGGCAGCGGGTGGCCAAGTGTGCCGAATGCCACTGGACTGTGCACGTCACAGGGATGGATTCTGTTTAGAAATTTCAGCTTAAAAAAAAACACAGTCCAAGTGGAATTTAGGAAAAAATCAAAACACAAAACCGGACTGCAGGGGGCTGTCCCCAAGCCACCTGGCTTCCTGCCACATTAGCTGTG